AGCGTCATGCTGGTTGGAAATCAACGACAGTCGCTGAGGGTTATGTCGAGAACTCCATTGAAAATAAGACCAAAATTGCTAATCAGGTTTTAGTAGGTACCACTACTAGCGCAATCACAAAAACTGTAAATGTAAGCGAAAGTAATATTCCTTCTAATATTAATTTTGAAAATTGTACAAATGTAACATTTAATTTAAATTTCAATAAATAATTTCAATGTTATCTTTTTTTTGCATGAAAAACGTTCTCCATAATGTAAACTCCCTTGGGAGCATTATACTCCCTTGGGAATAATCGACTACTTCTGTTTTAATTTTGATGTCATAGAAACTGATTTCTACTCCCGACCGTGGAAAAACAAAATTTGTTACCCATGTTAACAATAAGAAAATGTAAATGTCAGATATTTTATTTTTCTGCAGATTCTTTAAACTTGAATGAATGAATAAATAATTTAAGTAGTCATGCTAGTACATGCACGTATTTTGTACAGACACATTTTCTACTTCACAATCATCTTGAAATAGTTCAAGAAATTAAACACTTTAAAATATAAAACATCCACAAGTATTAAGTCACTTATTGAACAAATTGTATTCACTCTCTATACAATTTTATTATTCTTACCACAGTATATTATTGTTATTATTAATCACCAATGCATTTCGGATACTAATTCGAGTCTGTAGGATATTAAATCTGTGGATTTAATCATCAAAAATTGTATCTATCGGATAATATATATGCTATGCTTTATCAAGTTCAGGAACTTGTAGCCAAATGTTATTTCGTGAAAATTATTAGAATATTGGATTATTTTTACATTTACGTTTCAAGAGACATATTAAAGCTCTATTAAAGGCAATAAAATCCCAGAAGAATCGAAATAATTTCAATCGGATATAAGGGGTTAAAATTACTTGGAATTTGGAAGTGACATTCACAAAAATCAAGGACAAGAAACAACATGAGCCGGTAACTACAAGTTTTCATGGGATTCCATTCAATCAATCAGCGATCCCATTATCTCGAGCATACTTAAAAGTTTGTCACTGTTCATTGTAAACGAATCAATATTGGCGATGCTAAGATTTAGCGATTTTTAGTTGATGGTACCAGCCGTGCAGTGTTGGCTGCCTAACGCTCTGTAGTATACAGGCTGTTACAAATTCGTTTCTCACTCCACTGAGAAAAATGAAATCGAAATTTGTTTGAATTTTGAGCACTGGAGAAACCTAGAAATAACTATGAGCACGAGATTAAAACTAATAATCTTTTATTGTAACGTGTGGTAATAGTTTAAATAACATGATGCAGAGGGTCTTCAGAGCCGTATTTAAAAAAATTATGTTGAGTATGGTCCTGGAGAGACAAAATGTTACATATAAAAATTGGTTATGCCACTCGATAGAGGGCAAAAAGTTGCCATGAGAAAGTGTTCTTCTTTTTTCAATGTCACCTCAAACAAGGCTGAAAAGAAACAAAAAAGGATTTCCAAAATTTTGTTTTTTTTTCAAATATTTAGAAAACTAATCATGTTAGCCTTGATGTTTTAGAGGCATAATGTTGGTCCCCTGATTACGCAACTTTGCCCCCCTTTAAGCTACTTCGCATCTCTTACCGTTTCCGAGATCCCTGTAGTGAGAAGCGAATCTGTAACAGCCTGTATATAAATACCAACCAAACGTTTTAATCTCTGGTGGTTTCGGAGTTTCTCCTGAAGAAGAGCGCTTATGTCTCTAGATCTAGAAGCATTAAGAAAAACTAAACTGACGACGTGGCAATCAACCCAGAGATTGTTCAACCAACTTTTAAAATTGTTTACTTGGTTAACGAATCAATAAACAAATAAATACAATTAAAAATGTCAACAAATAAAAAATTACAGATTTTTGAGGTGAGAAAGTCCCGTTTGTCCCATAGTGTGACTATGATTTGAATCCCCCTTCTGATTTTTACGCCATGAATCTCCTTCTTATTACATAATTAGAATATAAATTATTTTATTAAATATCCTGTCCATATGAAATGAATTATTTTGTAAAAGTACAGAATAAGGCTATCATGCTTTTTTTAACTGGGTTAGGAACGTTCCATTCGATGTCTTTATGGGATCCTATCTCGACAACAGTGAGACAAGCTCCATATGCCCATTGTCTCTAGCGAAGTCAACTGCCGCTTTGCCATTCCTCATCTTGGCATGCACCTTTACTCCGGCCTTTATCAGTTCTTTGGCACACTCGTAGCTGCCCAGTTTGGCACACGAGATCAAAGCGCTGGAATAGGGCCCAGGATAATGAATGTTAGCCTTGTAAGCGATCAGCAGCCTGGTCAATTCCACAGTGTCGTTGAAACAGGAGGAGCTTAACGCCGTTATGTATCTACAGTTCTTACTAATGTTGGCGCCGTGTTTAAGGAGCGTTTCACAGGTCGCTATAAACCCCCACTTGCTGGATTTCATTAGCGGGGTGTAGCCGTAATCGTCGACTGCATTTACATCACCTCCTGAAAAATGTAACTGTTAGAGTAGGTACTACGATTGGTACGATATACATACAGGGTCACAACTTTTTAATTCTCCAAACAGGTGTCTTTCTTATTTTAAGAGATACAGAAATGGTCAAATCATTCGTTTTTAAATTTAGTAAATTCCAAATAGTTCCGAAGATATTCGAACAAACCGATTTGATGCTATTTCTTTTTTAGTAGTATTACACTTGTTTTTCGAAATTTTAGGGAATAAATAAGTAGTATGTTATAAAATGATATGAGGAATCGATTTCTGCTGTCAGTATTAACATATCTCTAAAGTCTGAGATGTTTGCTAAAATTTAGTTCAGTAAACAAGAACATGTAAAAATTAGGAAAAATTCCGTAGAATTGAATAAACTACTTTACTCCAGTTGATTGTTATTTTCAAAATGGCGTCCAAAGTTCGCAAAAAACAATTTTTTTCATTTAAAAAAAATGTAGTCAAAAGTTGTAGACCTTTTTATAACAAAACCTTTGAGCCCACACCGATGTCAACTGATAAACAAATGTACTGTCATTGCAGAAAAACGGCTAAAAGTCGAATTTTTTTTTAAACTTCTATATCTTCAAAGCGAAAAAAGATTTTTCTTTAAGAATCTTTCATAATATGTAGTCCTTGGCAAGTAGAATAAGTGCATTTTTGTAGAATTGCAGAATATTTGATACGTTTTTCGAAAAAAAGACATTTTCAAGTTTCAATAAATCATAAAGCAATGTTACGTGACCCATCTTGCGCTTAAAATTTTCTCCTAGAGTACTTTCCTGTGCAAATTGTGCGCGTATTGCAAACAAATTGAAAATATGCGAAAAATCTGTCCAAACTTTTGACTTCTTTTTTTGAGTCAAAAAATGTTATCGTTGAAATTTAATCAGAATGGCATTATTGCCATTTGAAAGCTGACGTTTTTCACAAATTTAAAAAAAAAGTTTTACGACCAACAAAAGCCTTTTTTTCAAAAAGTCGCTACAACTTCATTTATTAATTGTTTCGGCGAATAGTGAACTGTATAAAAAATAAATTAACAAAACTTAAAGATATGGATGATAATGTGAAACAAACGATTTCTACATTTCTAAACAAACAACAAAATACTGATTTTTTAATATGCTATAAATAAATAAAAGTAGTAGTAAAAATAGGATGAGTGAGTTCACAATAATAACGATAACAATAAATTTAATTATTTCAAAAATAGAAAATCTAGGTATCGCGTGGTTCGTTTCATTCATTCGATTCGAGACTGCCTTTTTTTTATCTATTTATTGGTATATAGATATATGTATATTTTAAATTCTTTTAATTGTAGGCAACCGATATTACCCTAAATTTAAGAACGCCTAAACATCAATATTAAGGTCTGAAATTTACACATGTTGTAGTTGAATACTTTTACTTCAATATAAAAAATAATAATAAAACTTAGTTTTGTTGGGTGTGTAAAATGCTTGCTCCGCTCGACACAACACACGTGCTGGGGGAGGAAGATTGTGACTCAGCTGAGTTCATTATTAGGCTATTGATTATATCCAAAAAAACAGGGTTAAAATGAACTATGACGTTCACGTAATTTTATTGGATGAATCGGTCTAAAGGTCATATTAGATGAAAAAACCGCGGAGTGTTATTAGAGGGTGGAAATTGGTTTTTTAATTGTGGCTCGAAAACGAAGCAAAATTTTGCTATAGTTCATAGGAAAACTTATTTAGAGAATTGAATTTTCCATTGAAATGACTTATTTTAAAACTTTAAAAGGAAAATTTTATTTTAAAAATCGTTAATAAACAATTTGAAAAAAAAGCAAAATTCGATTTTTTTTATTTTTTTTTACTTTTTTGTCTCGTTTTTTTTAATAAAGATAGGTATAGGCACAGCTTCATAAAAAAAAGTAGATACAATTTCCTTCAAAAAAAGAGGTTGTACAATATTTTTAGATGAGAATTGACTGATATATAACCTCTCAAACAGCCAATTTTTCAATTTTCGTCGTGTTTACCCTTATACGTTTTAATTCTCATTTTTTTGCAAAAAAGGAAGGATTTGTTCAAGAATTTTCATCACATGATTTGTTCAAAGGGTCATTAATAATGAAAAAACCACAGGGTGCTATTAAATTAGAGGGTTGAAATTGAAAATAGGGGTGAAAATGCACTTTTGCAGTTTTTTAAATATAGCTCGAAAACGAAGCAAAATTTCGGTATAGTTCATAGGAAAAATTTTGTAGAGAATTGAATTTCCCATCGAAATGGCCTATTTAAAAAATTGAAAAGAAAAATTTTATGCAAAAAATCGTTAATAAACAATTTTAAAAAAGTAATGATTTTTTGATTTTTTTTTACTTTTTTGAATATTTTTTTATAGTAGAAGTAGGAAAAGAAAATTGCTGTACAAAAAAACTAGAGATTTCCTTCAAAATTATAGCAAAAAAGGCCCACTTGTGTCCTAATTGCCAGGCTGAGGCCGCCCCTTTTCTACTACTACTTCAAAATGATGCCTTTTCAAAAGTTTTTGGACTAATATTAACCGAGTTATAACCGGTCAAACTTAAATATTTTTTAGATTTTCGTCGTTTTTAACATGTCAAAAAAGTAAAAAAAAAATCAGAATCTTATTTTTTACTTTTTTTTTAAATTGTTTATTAACGATTTTTTGCATGAAATTTTCCCTTTAAATTTTTTAAATAAGCCATTTCGATGGGAAATTCAATTCTCTAATTTTTCCTATGAACTATACCGAAATTTTGCTTCGTTTTCGAGCTACAATTAAAAAACAGAAAGGGGTGCATTTTTACCCCTATCTCCTATTTCCACCCTCTAATTTAATAGCACTACGCGTTTTTTTCATCTAAAATGACCATTTGAACAATTCATGTAATAAAATATCTTGATCATAGTTCCTTTTAAAATCCTATAATCAATAGCCTATATGTAGAATCGACAAATACGAGAATCGCATCAGTCTTTTTCCCCACCATGCACATCAACGTATCGAAGTTTACTGTAAGAAAAAGCGAGTCAATCATCGTGGACTATTTTTTATATTGAAGTAAAAGTATTCTACTACAACATGTGTAACTTTCAAACCTTAATATTAATAAGTGAGGAAATAGCTTTGGTAATGCAAGGCTCTATTGATTGGTTGGCGATAAAAACATTTTATTATAAAAAGCATTCTAGACAAAGGACACCTACATAAATTATACAATCTGCAGGAAGTTCTAATCTGACCTTCATGTCGTTTTTCTAGTAGTAGCTAAAGTAAACAGAATGATCTAACAATTTATACGACAAACGAGAAAATATTGAACAAAGTTAGTACTGTCAATGAGTTTGATAACAGGACATTACATGAAAAAACTTGCTTGGAATATGTATAGGTCTTTTGTCTAGAACAGGTCAAATAATTGATAACACATTTAGGAAAATGTCACTGAGCTTTAGCAAAGTTTTTTTAATATATTTTTAAATTTACATAATATTCAGTTAAATAAAAACTTAAATAGGAATAATACAACATAATTTCAGACGATATTAGAACAGCTTTGTAGAATTAAAATAGGTGTAAGCAATTTTTTGTTAATGTAGGCACATTCTATTTATTAAAGAGTGCAGTTAGAATTTTTTTTTTAAATATAAGGAAATTGTCACTTAAGCTAGTTTGAAAGATTGATATCATTGCCTGAATTTGTTGCCAATATTTTTTGGACACCCTGTATAAACATCTGATTATTGCTAAGCCTTACCATATTCAATTAGCATCTCAACGCATTCCGTGTACCCATTATTGGCAGCATAGTGTAGTGCCGTGTACTTTTTCACATTCTCGATCGATAGATCAGCTCCTAAAAAATATTGTACCAACCTTAATTAATAAAAGCAATTTGAAAGTAATAATACCCAAAATTTAATACCAAATATGTATAAAAAAAAAAGAACTGTGATATAACATTGTGCAATCACGGAAATAAAAAAAAAATAACACGAAACGTAAATGAAACGTTACAAATGAGCTATTTTACTAAACATTTGACACATTAAGAAGAGAGTTTGAAACATTATTCGAAACATTCCCTTTCGATCTCGGAAACATAACAGACAAACAACCCTTTGCTTTTTTTGCTTATCTTATGGAACATTCGGCATTAGTTAACATTTGCTCTCAATCCCCAATCCCTCTCATCTCTCAAGCATTAGTTCATTTACCATTGTTATACAAACAGCCACAAACAGAGAATAAAATTGTGGTAGCATATTTATAACACAAGTCTAGAAAAAATGTATGTTCGTGACTTGCGTAAACTGCGCGTAACAGCCCGAGTTTATTTGTTTCCTGTGTGTCGTTTGCAATTCATATTATGTTAGGTTAGGTTTGCGGTTTGCCTTTGCCAGTTTGCCTGGCTTCGTTGTTCTTCATTGTTGCTTTGACGCTATTTTATGTGATAATTTGTAGTGTGTGCAGTTGTGGTTATTGTAAGGTGCATATAAAATAATGAATATTGATGCAAAATGTTTAAAACGATATGTGTAGAGATTTCCAATTTTGCGTCACATCTACCTAAATATAGTTATACCCACTACCTATTACAGACAAGAGGACAAGGGACAAGAACTAAGAAAATGGAACAACAACTATA